CCTCAGCCTCCTGAGTGCTGGAATTACAGGCATTAGCCACCACGGTTGACTCAAAACTACAGTGAATGTTTAAGTCAAAAAATTTATTACAGTAAAAGATACCTCAATCCCCCTCCAAACACTCAAACTTCTCATTTCAAACACACCCCATTGTTCTTGGCAATGTGTCTTGTATTGTATTAAGTTTTTTTCTAGTGTAAACATTTCCCACATTTTTTTTTTTTTTTTTTTTTTTTTGCTACTGGGAACCAAACTCATGACCTCAGGCTTGCCGAGCAAGCGCTTATGCTGTTGAGCTACATCCCCAGCCCTACCACATCTTTTGATCACCCTTTGTACACTTGGTACTTGACTCAGGCATCTAGAGAACACACAGCCTCTACTTCCAGCAGAATAAGCACCCACATTTGCCTGGATGGGGTATTGGATTCCAGCCCATCTACCTCTGCAGTCGCTGGGGTCCAGATCAAGATGCTACCCATGGGTGCGGGTTTGTAAATGTGGAGGCAGCTTCTCCCTTTGTTTCACCCAGATAACTGAAATACTTGGCCTCCTGGGAGAGGAGAGGCATCTGCCACGGGCCAGACAGCAGAGAAGTGTCCTAGCAGCTCATGACCATATGTCCTGTCCAAGACCCTGCCTGTGCAGCCGGCCTTGTCCAGTCAAGGCTGACACTCCCCGCCTGAGAGGCCCCTGCCTCTGCAGATTTCCTTGCTGAGCTGAGCTGACTTCTGTTAGAAACTGGCCCCCACAGAGAAGTGCCAGGGTGCATTCAGCCTATTTTAATATGGAAACTCAAACACAACTATTTTGTTCGTCTTTCTTTCTTTTTTAATTGTATAGGAAGGATGAAATGCATTTCCCTTCTGGGAGTGTTTGAAGATTAGCTTCTCTCTGACCATGAATAAAGGTCAAACAGTTTTTTTAGCATACAATGATTTAGACTCTGGGTGTAACAGATTGTCAAGGACAACTGTGAAAGCACCAAAGAGAAAAGAGTTTTGTGAGTGCACGAGGGGGGGGACGGGGGGAAACAGTTGGTTGCCATAGATACCTGGCTATGGCTTCCAAAACAACTCCAGCTTTTGGGAGGCGCTGGTTCAAATCCATTTCTACTGGCTCAATCACTCTGTCATTGCTAGAACAAAACACCCAATGCCCACAGCTTAAAGGAGGAGAGGGCTATCTTGGCTCATGGTGTTTAGAAGATTCAGTCCATAGTGAGCTGGTTTCAAGGCAGGAAGGGCAAAGTGGAAGGGTCTGGTAGAGGAAGAATACTCATGTCTTCGTGGCCAGGAAGCTGAGAGAGAAGGGAGGAGATGGAGAGGGAAAGACGTCCTTCCAGGGCTCACCCCCAGGGACCCACCTCTTACCGCCAGGCCCCACTCCTCTCAGTGCATTCAGCTCTGGATTCATTGGTGGATTAACTAGGTATAGCACCCTCAAGATCTAAGCACCTTCCTGAGGGCCCGCTCTGAGCACATGGAAGTCTTGGGGGACATGGTAGATCTAAATCATAACATCTATATCCTTTGCCCATCATTTGAGGTTGATTGCTTAAAAGAACCTGGTCTAGTTACTGGAAGATCCATCTCCCTCACCACTGCTGCTGAACTTGTGCACAACTCTCTGGCCCTGTTCCTAGCCACAAAAGGTTTCATTCTTTCTGATCTCTTGAATTCCCAAGCTCATCGCCAAATCCTAGAGCCCCTACCTTGGTCTTGAAGCCAAATCCTTCACTTACCAGGATAAGAATTAGGTCAGATCCTCTTCTTGTTTTGTTTTGTTTTTGTCTTTTTCAAGGCAGGATCTCACTCTGCAGTTCAGGCTGGCCTTGAACTTGCAGCAATCTTCCTGCCTCAGCCTCCCAAGTGCTGTGACTGCAGGTGTGTGCCACCATGCCTGGCTAAGATCCTCTTCTTGCACTGGCCTTCCTCTCAAACTGAGGCAGGGGCTGCAGCTAGCTACTTGTGAAACCCGTTTTCCTTTCTTCTTCAAAATTTGGTCTCACTGCGAGGTGTGGTGGCGCACCCCTGTAATCCCAGCACTTGGAAGGCTGAGGCAGGAGGATCATTGTGAGTTTGAGGCCAGCTAGAGCTACAAAATAAGTTCAAGACCAGCCTGAATTGTATAGTGAGATCCTCTCTCAAAATGACTATATATATATATATATATGGTCTCACTTTAGAGTTTGATGGTGGCATTCCTTGTGACTGAGCTCTGGCCAGTTGGACCACTTTGAAATCAAGCCTCAAAGCACATCTACCTCCATTACTTTTCTCATTACTGAGACACAATACACGACACAACTTAAAGGAGGGAAGGTTTATTTTGGACCACTGTTTGTAGAGGTTTCAGTCCATAGTCAGCTGGCTCCAAAGCAAGGCACCACGGCAGAGGGGCATCACAGCAGAGAAGCAATCCATGGCATAGCAGGCAGGAAACAGGAGGGATCATGGGTGGAGGAGGGCCCTATCCTCTCCCGGGCCACACCCACAGTGCCCTCCCTCTTCTCACCAGGTCTCACTTCCCAGCACATCCAGCTATAATCCAGAGATACGCACCATACGCTCACAGTCCAGTCACCTCCCCAAGCCCCAACTATGAGCACATGGGAATTTGAGGGGAAATCTAGGTGTAAACAATAATAGACTCTGTCTTAGTCACTTTCTTTGGTCAAGATACCTGACATTCACAACGTAAAGAGAGGCTTCTTTTGGTTTATGTTTCAGAGGGTCAGCCAGCTGGCTCCAAGAAGAAACGCCACGGCAGAGGTGCGAGGAGGGGGAGAGGTGCTCGTGGCACAGTAAACAGGGACACGTGCCCCGACAGGAGATGCACCCTCCCAGGCCACGCCCACAGTGACCCGCCTCTTCCAGACCCCACCTCCTAACAGCAAGGCACCCGTCACACGGCCACAATCCACTCACCTTCCAAAAGCCCCACTTGTGATTGAGTGAGGCTTTTGGGATGCATCTAGGTATAAATCAGGTTCAGGTGCAACCATGACCTGTAGATTCCTTCTTTTTATCTGGCAGCTAGATGCCAATCCCCCGTACAAGTTCGGAAGTCATGAGTTGGAGAAGGCAGAAGTTTTGCCAGTCAAGTTCCTGAATGACTCTTAGGCACCACCCAGCAGGCTGTATGGTGAAGCTCTCACTCTGGTAAAACGCTCTTAACCTTGACCTCTTCCTGAGCGTCTTCACTACCTGCTGACCTTGTGCAGTCCTGGACACCCTCTCCACCTACTGGGCTCACACAGGTCTGGCTGTCACAAGACAGGGCCCCTCTTCTCCCGCAGCCCTTCCTGTGGAAGCTGCTCGGTTGCCTGCTGCGTCCTCCCCGGTCCACGGAAGCCATCCGTCCACTCCATTGTTCTCCCTCAAGGCAAACCTTTCCCTCTCAGCGCCCTGTGCCAGTCACGCTGCTGTCTTCCCTCTGTTACCACTGTTCTCACCTGGCTTGCCCTCCTTGCCCTTGCGTTTTGCTGGCTGGCTCCCCTTCCTTTAGCCCAAGTTATTGCCGCTGCAGATCCTACTTTTCTACCAACAGCAGGCCCTCAAGGAGCCTTGGTCACCAGTGCTTGAGCAACATGTTTTCCTGACTGCCACAGAGGCTTCTCCGAATCCTCCTTCCTCCCCTTTTCCCCCACTGCAGGCCTTGGCTCCTGTTTCACTGAGAAAGTTGAGGAACTCTGGTATGAACCCCTCAACTCATCCTGCTGGGTGCGCCATCGCCGGCCTTTTGGCCTCAGAGTCACACGGCCGCTCTCTGACTTGGACTCTTGATCCACCTGTAAGACCAGAGAGCTGTTTTGAATGATGCCTCTACCCCCCATCCCAAAAGTTTCAACCTATCTCTACTAGTTCCTTCCAAAGGAATTTATAAACCTACCCAAATATCCTTCCTTGAATAGTAACAACAAAATTCCTGGAAAATAATTGCATTCATTTCCTCATTCACTTTTTTCATTCATTATAATTTGGATTTTACCCCCCTCCCTGACTTGCTCTAGCAAATGCACCTCCTCCTTCCTCCACCAAATCCAAAGTCCTCTTTTTTAGTTGTCATCTTTCTTGCTTTCTCTTCTGCATTTGACATGCAGCCCTCATTCTCTTCGGGCAGTCAGAGTCCAGTACAGAGCCCTGCATAGGTCTTCTAACCTGTGCTCCTGCTGTCAGTCTTTCTGCCCTTTTCTGCCACCAGGGTCATCTTTATAAAAGATAGAACTTTATGAAACTTTCCTAGGGGCCGGGGATGTAGCTCAGTGGCACAAGCATCTGCCCGGCAAGCACAAGATCCTGAGTTCAATTCCTGGTACAAAAAAAAAAAAAAAAAAAAAAAAGCTGGGCGTGTTGGTGGTAATCCTAGCATCTGGGAGGCTGAGGCAGGACAATCATTGTGAGTTTGAAACCAGCCTGGGCTACAAAGTGAGCTTGAGGCCAGCCTGAACCGCGTAGTGAGACCCTGTCTCAAAAAGACAAAAGACACAAAAAACTTCCCTAGGCTCCTGTTTCTTACAAGACAAAGCTCAAGATGTATATAGCAGGAATTCTGAAGCCTGCCAGGGGCTGCTCCTGCCCTGGTCAGCTTCTCTTTCCTTAGATGCCTGCCTGCCTCAATGTTCTCCAAAGCCCCTGTGCTCTCTTAGGGCACTGTGCCTTTGTCCTCCCACTGCCTGGTGAGCACCACTGAATTTTTGAGACTCAGCTCAGGCACAGCTTCTCTAGAAAGCCTGTTCTGACTGTGTTCAGAGGGTAAAATGGACTCACTTTCCTTTGGGCCTATGCTGTATTCCTGATCCGACCCAGGGCGGGATGGGAGGGGCTTGTTAGGGTGCTCTGCGCTCTGTGCCCTCCAGATTGTGCCCTTTCATTGCTGTGGACTGGATGCCTCACCCAGAGTCTGACAAGGGATCAGTAAATCTTTCCTGTTGGTGTTGAATGGGAAGGTGCGTATGTGGGAGGCCCCAGAAGGATTACAATTACAAGGATTTCCAATTACAAGAAGGCTGAGCATGGGGCACTGGAAGTTTATTTGCTCAGAGAAAGGGCCTCTCAACACCCATAGCTCTTGCTTCCTGTTGTGCTGGGTTCCCGGCAGACGGGGCTGGGGCCATCAGGCTTGACTCTGCTATTGGCATAGTGACTAGTCCTGGGGTGACTCTGCTTCCAGCTGCAGCTGAAGGAAGACACCTGCAAGGGAAGGGGGAGCTGAGTGTTGAGAGCCAAGGCCACAAGGAGGTGCTGTGAACATTTTGCTCCAAATCACCTGTAACCTGGAGCTGTCCTGTGGTACAGGCTTTGTACTGCGCACCTCCTACTTAACAAAATGTCCTAGTTGAGTTCTCCTTCGCTGCACCCATGTAGCACAGGCAAAGTCCTGCCCCTTAAACAGCTGGGACCGCACTTGGGACTGGGTCATTAGCATTCTTCCTTCCATTTGTTCTGCGGTAGGTTGTGCCAGGACTAGGGCTGAGGCCGAGGACTTCTTTACCTGAGGACTTGGCAAAGACTGTCTGCTGGTCTCTGCTCTGGGCGATGCAGGACATGTAGAGCTTCTGGTCCTCAATCTTCTCTACTTGGACGTTCAGGACAGCCAGAGAGCCCACGGGGAGCAAGCTGGGGGAACAGGCAGTGTAACTCATGCCCCACCTCCTCACCCCTCTGCACCTCTTTACCCCACCTGCCTCAAGGACTCCGAAGTGGCCTGGTTTCAGGAGCTGTTTGTTGGGCCCCAAAGTTGGGCAGCAAAGACTGTCTTCTGCACAGGGACGACAGGAGTGCTTGGGACTGGGATGGGGAGGGAGGGTGGCAGGCAGGGCTTCCCCACCCCAGCTGCCAAGGAGGGTCACCCCCGGTGATGAGAAGGCCACGACTTTGGCCAGTGCCCCAGGGATCCATACTTACTTTTTGAACCTGATGTTGAGGCTTAGCGTGAACAGCCCCTCTCCAGCTAGGTAGGCGGTTTTAGAAAAGGTCTCGTCCATCATGGCTGCCAGAGACCCTCCATGGGCAAACCTGAGGGTGTGGGTGGGGAGCAAGTCCAGGGCTGGGGCCACGGGGCAGATCTTCCCCCCGGGAAGTGACGACCCCGCGCTCCTCCCCTCCCCAGAGCCTTCCAAAGGTGGATCTTCAGCCTCAGGCAGCCAAACAGGTGAGCAAATCAGTCAACATTAGCCGAGCTTTTCTTTGGTTTTGCTTCAGCAGGTGTTACCACTGACCAAGTATTTTATTTCTGCAGGAAAAAATGTTTTTTCTCAAAGAGTTAATGGAAAACATCCTCCTGATCTGTCACCTAATGGCTTGCAACGGTTGCTATAATTTGGAAGTGCGCAAGCGTGAAGAAAATGGGAAACCCCTGCACTTCTTTTTTGGGTCCCGGGATTGAATTCAGGACCTGGTGCTTACCAGGCAGACACTGTGCCACTGAGCTGTATCCCCAGTGCCCCCACGCCTGAATTTTTTTGACTTCATCTTTAAAAGGAAGTAGCTACGATCTTGGGCCATCTCTCCCCTTACCAGTCACTACAGCCAGGGCTGGGCCCACATTTTCAAGACAAACAAATATGAAACGTAACTTATAAAACAAAGTGCCAGCAAAATCAACTTCTGACCAGCACTGCCCATGGGAAGGCATCCTGCTTCCGCTGGATGCTGCGGACACATGCTTTCCTGAACCTACGTCAAACCTCATCCTCATCTTACCAGTGCCGCCTCCATGCCAAAGCCCCTGCATTGCTGCTTAAGTTGGCGAAAATAGAGGGGCCCCAACTTTGGAATGCAAATGACCCAAAACAGATTTGAGTTCCTGATTTTTGTTAGTGTTTTGCTTTCTGAGACGGGTCTTGATAGGTAGCTATCTTTGAACTTGCCAAATAGCCCAAGCTGGTCTCAAACTCACAATGCATCTGCCTCAGCCTCTCGAATGCTGCGATTGTGGGAGTGTGCCACCATATCTGACTGGAGTTCCTGACTGTTGAAGGTGCAGTTGTAATTCTCCACGGACCTTGGCCAGTGGCACTCACTATACTACTGTGTCCAGGCTATTCTCCTGTTCCTGCCACCGCCCAGCTTCCCAGGCCCTTTGTCCCCTTCCTTTGGTGGACATTGCTGGGGGCTGTGGATCATTAGAGTCCTTGCTCCACCCGTTTGATCTTGAGCAAGTTGCTAAACCTGTTTGAGCTTTAGTTCTTTCTCTCCTTCTCCTTGTTCTCCTTCCTCCCCTTTTCTTCTTCCTCCTTCCCCTCCCGTCCCTCCTCCTCCTCCATCTTCTTTTTCTTTCTCGTTGTCTTCCCTTTCTTCTCCTTCCCCTTCTTTTGCAGGACCTTTATACCAAACTGCATCCGCAGCCCTTTAAAAAAAGATCTTACAGGCTGAGGCAGGAGGATTGTTGAGAGTTTGAGGCTACCTTGGGCTACAAAGTGAGTTCAAGACCAATCTGAACTGCATAGTGAAACCCTGTCTCGAAAAGACCAAAAAGAAAAAAGGTCTTACTAAATTGTTAAATTGTCCAGGCTGGGTTTAAACTTGTGATCCTCTTGCCTCAGCCTCCCAGTGCTGGGATTACAGGCATGTACCACCACACCTAGCTTAATTTTTCTACTATGAATTGTGAATTGTGAATAAAAATGGACAGTCTTCGTCATCTCCCAAATTGACTGAAAGAGGGAAAAGGTGTTGGTGTGAAAGAACTCTCGGCATGTTCTCCCCTCCTCATCCTCACCACCAAGGAAAGGGACCTGTTGGTAAGTGTAGGTTCTGCAGAGCAGCTCTTAGTCAACCAGTAACTCCCTCCCACTCCCGGTGGCCAAGGGCCTGGGAGACTTTAGTTTTTGGCTGGACCCTCCTCCACTGCCGGGCATGCGTTGGATAGTCTCTATTGCCTCTTGGCATCACCTCCACAAGTCCCTAAGATTCAGCCACACATCAGCCCCAGTCTTGCCTCTTCGGGGTTTTCTTCTTTGGAGGGGAGGAGGCCCATGGCCCAGGGAGGGATGATAGCTATTCTTCCAGCATCTGCGTGCACTAGTTTGAAGAACAGTGTCCCCATGGAGGAGACCTTTCGAATGGCCAAGGGGACAGAGGGCTACAGTCTGTGGCCACAGCCTGTGGTGATAATGACGTCTATTTACCACTGTCAGTTTTGCTTAACTCCACCCCAGCCGCTCTCAGGCCTCAGGACCCTAAACCCAGTCCCATAGGAACTCCTGTGCCACAAACTACCTTTTGTGACCAGAGAGGAAACAGGCACAGAAGAGAAGGCAGACAACCATGAACTTAGTAGCCAGTAGCCTTCTTTGGCAGGCCCCGGGCCAGCCAGATTTATGCCCAGTGTGAACTTCTCCTTAGGTCAGTTTCAAGTTTGAGGAGCAGAGTGGAGAGAGCACTGCACTTGGAGTCCAAGTCCTAGAGTCCTGGATCTGACTTGGGCAAGTTCCTTTCCCTCTGGGTAAAACCTGGGGTCTGGAGAGGTGGTGCCCAATAGCTATACTGTGCTTTATGGGCTCATGAGGACACCCAGAGGGGTCCACAGTGTCATGTCTCTCAGCCACCTTTGCAGCTAGGTATTATTGGCCTAAGTTTTGCGTAAGAAGATTCGAAGCCAGGTGTCGTATTGCTTGCTTGCGACAGTGAAGCAGGACTGGGAGTCTGGCTCTTGATTCTAGATCTTGCCCTCTTCCAAATGTGTCACATCCTTCTCAAGGTGACCTTTCAGGTCCTTGGTTGCTGGAAAATTCTAAGACCTGGATAAGGGAGCTGTCTTTAACTGCACGATGGATTGGACCAGACAGATAAGCCAGTATGATCCCCCCAGGCCCGGCGTCCTGAGGCTGAAGCCCCGTTCCTCACACTCCTGTCCTGGCTCCTAAGAGAGGTGCAGACTCCAGGGCCTCATAGGTGCCCACCCAGCCTCTGAGCCAAGTCTAGGAGTCCCCACCCCGGCCCTGCTGTGGTCTTACCCTGGAGCCCCCTCCAGGTAGGGGCCTGGTTGGAAAAGACAGACGGACTTCTGCTTGGCTGGGTGGAAAAAGATGACATACTCGTAGCCTTGTCCTGCCACTTGGATGCACCTGGTGAAGATGCAATAGTCACCTTTGTCTGGGGAGAGATAGGCAATGTCACAGCTGGAGAAAGGAGGGTGTGAGGGCCAGGGGCCTTGCCAGGATGCCGTCCCAGGGGCCGAGCCCTGCCTCTGGTACCGGTCACAGAGACAGCCAAGGACAGCCAGGGTGCGCTCACGGCGAGCTTTCGAACTGGGAGCGGACGCACAGTCCCTGCATTCAGAGAGAGCCCGTGGCTGGAGACCACACTCTGGAAGTCGCCTGGCTCAGGGTGGAGTCAGGACCAGAGCCAGATCAAGACTTAAAACATTGTAAGCATTCAAAATTAACAGTATAATTACTCCTGTGGTCACCTGCAATTAAAGGCAACAGTACAAAATAGCAAAATAAAGCAGAAAAGTCCACTGGAGTTCCAATTCTCCAAGACAGTTACAACTATAACCTTTTTGAAAATATCAAACTCTTAAATTATTTTGATGCCCCTGTTTTGTGCCGTAACCCAAAAGTCTCTTGCCAGCTCTATCCTCCCTTCATCACTGGGCAGGAATCGTACATAAAAATGAGACAGGCAGGCAGGCAGACACACACACACAAGGAATGAGGTGCCAGGCAGATCCAGGGGGTGCTGCAGAGTGCTGGCCTGAGCTGAGGCCTGTGAGAGGCGAGGCGGGGCGCTCCAAGGGCTCTGACGGGGGCAGGGAGGAGGGCTTAGGCTGAGGTGCAGCTGTGAGGGAAGAACTGCCAGTGAAAAGGTAGACAGGGAGGGGCACTGAGCCTGCAGTCCTCCGGTGGGGCGGGACTCAGCTGGCAGCAAAGCTGCCTTCTAGGGTGTGCCCTAGTCAGGTGGGAGGAAGGGAGGTGGTGAGGGAAGAGCCTTCCTATTCACCTCCCCAGTTGCAGCAGAGGGTGGAGGGAGACAGCAGGAAGAGCTTCTGGGTGGAGTTCTAGAAGGGGGCTTGTGAATTTTCTTCCCAAGGGTCTTCATTTTTTTTTTTCTTTTTTTTTTTGAGACAAGGTGTCACTGTGAAGTTCAGGCTGGCCTTAAGCTCACTTTGTAGCCCAGGCTGGTCTCGAACTCACAATGATCCTCCTGCCTCAGCCTCCTGAGTGCTGGGATTACAGGCGTGTGCCACCACGCCTGGCTCCCAAGGGTCTTTAAACGCAGCGAAGGGAGCTGGATGAGCTTGCCTGAGAGTCTCAGGCAGGGTCCCGTCAATGTGGTCTGGGGTGTCTGTGTGCCCATGGGCCCGCCCAGGCCCCGCCTTACCTGAGGTAGCTACCAAGCCAGATGGGAGCTTTAGCCCTTGGATGTGGTCTCTGTTGGACTTGAATGAGGGCAGTTTGATCCAGCCTTCTGAGCTGGTCTTCTCCAGAAGCTCTTGGTACAGGCTCAGCATGTCTGGACCCCAGCTGGCATTGGGAAGAGCATAATCCTTCAAGTCTGTCTTCTCCGGACAGAATCTTGAGACCTGGCAAGGAGAAATCAGGGGGACCAGTCGATGTCCTGGAGGGTGGGGACTGCTGCTTGGGTTGTGGGACCTCCGGGTAGTTTTTTTCCTAGTATAGGGGCTTTTTAGGCTCAGCTACCAGAGTGTTAACTTAGGGGAAAGAGCCCAACTTCCTTTGGGGACTTCTGTGGGTGACTGAGCAAGGGACACTAAACAGCCAAAGAAGAGAGGGAAGGGAACAGGGGCCAAGAATGACAGCCGTGCTGCTCAGAGGCGGTGCGTTACACACGTTCAGCTTAAACATCTGTGAATGGTTCTGTGAGCCTGGCAACTGCTAGTATGAGCCCCACTGCACAGACGGGGGAACTGAAGAAATATGGTTAAGGTTTCGAAGCTTAGGCCTGTGAGAGCTGTTGGACTAGACACTGGCCACCAGGGGGGGTGAGACCACAGTTGGTGCGGGATGCTTTTACAGACCCTTCACCTCGCGGCTATTCAGCTCCATTCACAGCTGTAGGCCTGCCTGGACAGGGTAGCCCCTCTGAAACATGTTTGGGTACCCCCAGAGGAGGTACAGGAGGCAACGACATTCTGCCCATCAGAGGGATGAGGGAGTCCTCTATAGTGTCAGCTGCTCATGTACCAGTTGCTACCGGGAGCAGTAAATGAGCTGCTTATCAAGAACACAGACAGGGTCTCTGTCTGGCGATACCCTGATTTAGCTGCAAAATTCTGAGTCCCGTAGGAGGAAAGTGATTTGTTAGTGGCCATGCAAGATGCCGACCAGGATGCAAACAAGTGTCTGGGTGGATTTAGTTTGGGATCTGAGCTACACGGTATGACAGAGTACCTTCCCTTTACCATATCAAATAGTTCCTCCAACCACTCCTCATCAGCCCTGTCCATAAGCCAGAAAGAGGCAATTTGGGGTGCTCCTTAGACCCAAGACTCTGAGGAGAATGTCTGCCCATCTGACGGAGCTGGGAACTCACTCACCAGGGAGCCTGTGGAAGATCCAGTTGCTGAGGCAAAGCTGAGTCTGGGCGGGATACGGAGGGTCCTGCGGAGGGCTGTGTGGAGGCCAAGTCTCGCTACTGCCTGGAAGCCTCCCCTCATCATGGCTAAATGCCTGCTTGGATCCAGGGTGACTCCTGAGGAGGCGACAAGGTAAGAGAGCACAGTGCAGTGGTGCGCTAGCTGTGGGTGTAGCCACCTCGCCCTAGCCGCTCCTTTGTGTCACAGGCTTTTTCCAGAGAGAATCTTTGGGAAAGGCCAGGCTGGGCTGCTACAACACCCACAGGTGCCTGGGGCCTGTAGCTGCCCGAGCCCCACCCACACTTGGGAAAGGATAGACGCTGCCTAGCAGGACCGACCCAAGTTCAAAAAGAACAAGTTGCTAAAGAATGAAATGTGCATTTGCAAGTAGTTTGGAGTCCCCGAGCCTTAGGGAGCAGTGCTGAAAGAAACGGGAGGTTTATCCCTTAATTGCAGAGTGTTGGTGGTGCATGTGCAGCATGTGCTCTGTAGCTCTGGCATGATTCGGGGACTCGAAAACCAGCTCACAGCCCTTAGATGCCCCCTTCCTATGTCCCAGTCAGGGTCAGCCAGGGAGGCCTCCACCAGCTGGTCCCTGGCTTGGGACAGGAGGCTCAATGCATGTGTTGGGTGGAGGACAGAAAATCATCTGAGAGGAAGCAGCTAGCAAGGGAAATTGTGCTCTGGGGGCATCGGGAAAGGAATGAGGGCAGCAGACTGTGCTGGGAGTGAGGTGCGGACAGGTGGGGAGCCTTTGTCGGGAAGTCTGGGAGGATGTGTGGGGGAGGAGTGCCCTGCCAGTGTCAGCTGAGGTGCAAATGCTTTTTGGTGGTATTACTTCTCCTATTGAATGAAAATAGTTTTCAATGAAAAGCCTCAGTTTTTAATTTACCAAAATAAAACATATTCTAAAGATTAGAACTGTGCAAAATGGAATGATGATGATGATGATGACAATAACGATATTATCACAGATTCTGAAAGATCAAACTGATTTAATATGGGAAGTTAGCTGGGTGTGGTGGCGCATGCAGATGGAGGAGGCTGAGGCAGAAGGATCATTGCAAGTTCGAGACCAGCCTGGGCTACAAAATGAGCTCAAGGCCAGACTGAACTGCATAGCGAGACCTTGTCTCAAAAAGACCAAAAAAAAAAAAAAAAAAGTTAATATAGTTACCAAGCCAAGCCAGTTTTGCTAGTTGCCCAGTTAGTGGATCACAGAGACAATGAGTTTCACAAAAGAGTTTATTTGCACATTAGCAATGACAGCTAAATCAACAACTGACAATTTGATATCTGATACTTCATATTTAATTGCTGTGCTGAGATACAATGACATTTATAGGATCTGTGGGAAACTTGACAGTTTAGGAATGAAATATGACTCTTCAGAGCCATTAAAACTGGAAATTCCAGGCTGGGAATTTAGCTCAGGGGCACAGTGCCTGCCTGGCAAGCACAAGGTTGTGAGTTTGATTCCTGATACTGGAGAAAAACCAAACCAAACCAAACCAAACAAAACTGGAAATTCCACCTGGCTTGGTGGTACATGCCTGTAATCCCAGCACTCAGGAGGCTGATCAGTTCTTTTTTTCTTTTTTTTTTTCCTTTGGTACTGGGAATCAAACTCACGACCTCACACTTGCTAAGCGGGTGCTGTACCTCTGAGCTAAATCCCCAGCCCTAGGAGGCTGAGGCAGAAGGATTATTGTGAGTTGGAAGCCAGCCTGGGCTACATAGTGAGTTCAAGGCTGGTTTAAACTACATGTCAAGACTCTGTCTCAAAAAAAAAAAAAAAAAAAAAAAAAAGACCAGCCTGAACTGCCTAGTAAGATCTTGTCTCAAAAAATCAACTGAACAAACAACCAAACAAAAAATAAAACAAAACAAAAACACTGGAACTTTCAATGTTTGGCACACCATTATTTGCTGAGATTCATTATGTTAAAAAAAAAAAAAAAAAAGAATGTATTTGCCAGGCATGGAAGGGAACCCTTAAGCTTCAAATCTGCCTCCCTGAGAATGGGATTTAAGGGTACTGATGGGAGATAAAAAAGCAGAGTGGCTCAATGTGTGGGAAAGTGACTGTAGGTGGAGTACTCAGCGGTCTGCGCATGTGTAATCAAACTTTATGGCTCTTCATGTTCAGAAAATCCTGGTGTTAGCTAATCTGAGGGTGGAGTTTTTGGCCTCTTCACATCAAAAGTCACTCACAGACATCTGAGAAGGCCCATGTGAAGAACTGGTGGTCTGGGGCTGGGAATGTAGCTGTGTAGTAGAGCACTTGTCTAGCAAGAATGGGGCTCTGGGCTCAGTTCCCACCATCTCAAAATAAAAAGTCTGTGGTTTAGACAAAAGTGGTCTTTGAGTTCCTGAAAAATCACCCAGACAACTGTTATCACCATAACCCACATTGGAGGTGTTATCTACAGCAAGCTAGTGGGAGACTAGCTCAGGTGTGTGACCTCCAGAATTAAGGGTTTTAATTTTTTTGTGAGCACATGTTTGCATTATATGCAGTTTATATTCACCTTGGGTGGTAGGTGCACATGCACAGCTCAGTTCTTTTCTAACCCCTGCCCCTGCCCACCCACCTGCTTCCCTCTATCTTTCCCCATTTTCATTCTGACTGTTATTACTTTTCGTTCATCTTTACACATATAATGTTTACATTCATTGTGGGTAATTGGTACTTGTACAGGACACATCCTAAGTCTTTATTCCCCATACCCCTTGCCCTGGGTCTCCTGGACCCCTTCCCATTTGCAAAAGATCTGTCTCCCTGTTGGAATCAAGGATTTTTATTTTTTTCATTTTTAAAATTTATTTGTATTGAAAGTATATATGTACATTTTTAAAAAAAATCAGATAGTATTAATAAGTTTATAGAATACACTCTCAGTGGCATACCAATATTATTCACAATAGCCCAAAGCCAAGATGTTAGTAAGAATTGCCTCCTCAGTATTCTATAGCCATGA